GCCATCAAGAAGCCAGGCCTTGAGGTGACTGGGGTGGGCTGACCAATCCCTGGGTGAGTCAGGCTCAGAGGAATGTGGAGAGAAGGCTGCATGGACATGCGAGTCAGCTCTAGGAATCACACCTGTCTCAACATCATGGTCATTAGTTTCTCGTCTCAATTTACTTAGGAACTTGAGAAGTAGAGGCATTAGTGGATAAGTGTACATCAGAACTCAAGGCCACATAACGATCAAGTCATATCCCATTAAGTTGTGACTGTGCCCTCCCCTTGCACTTTGCATGGGGTGGAGTAGCAAAAAGATCTACCTGTGGATAGCTCCAGCTAAGAGATCTCTTAGAACACCTCATTGTTCAGATCCTACTCATGGTTGATGCTGAAATGTCTGCCGAGGGAATCCGCCACTGTGTTCTGTAGTCCTAGTAGTTAACTGCTGAGATCTATATGTGGTGTGATATGCACCAGTTCCATAGTTTTATGGATTCAGCGCATAAGGACCGGGATCTTGCTGCTCCTTTCCGATTGATTTAATACATCACTGCTCTGTTGTCCAGCATTATCTTGACTGGGTGATCCTTGATGTGTTGTAGGAACTGTTGGCAAATTTAATGGACATTAAATTTGAGCTCTAATATGTTGATACGGAGGATCACCTCCTGAGGGGTCCATTTGCCCTGAGCTGTGAAGTTTTGGAAATGGGCACCCCAACCTATGAGGGAAGCACCTGTGGTGATAATCCTCGTGAGAGGAGGCTGTATACATGGAACTCTGATACACACCTTTTGTGGGTCCTTCTACCAGTTCAGACAATCATGGACCTTCCAAGATACAGACACCCACTTATAAAGACTGTGTCTCTTGGGGGTGTACACAGTTCTCAATCATGCTTGAAGATACCAAAAGTGCTAAGGAAGTCACAAACATACATGCTGTCATGTGGCCCAGAAGTTGCAGACAAGCCCTTGCAGTGATTTGTAGACTCTGTTGGATTGCTGAAACAAGGTTGGACGTTGTGGTGCATTGGTCCCTGGGTAAGTATGCTCTGGTGGAGGAGGAGTCCACAATGGCCCCGATTAAATCTATATGTTGTGTGGGTGTTAGGGTAGATGTCTCCATTCTGAAGTAGAAACTCAGAGAATGAAACAGAAACAGGACCTTGCTGGTTGCTGTCTGTGCTCTGAGAAGCGAGCAGCCCTTCAGGAGCCAATCATCCACGTAAGGAAAGATGATATGCCCATCTAGTAAAGATAGGCTGCTGTGGCTGACAGAACTTTGATAAAGATCCTTAGGGCAGTGGAGAGACCAAGGGTAGGAGACAATACTGGGAGTGAGCCCTGTCTACCACAAAACGTAGAAATCATTTCTGCCTGGTATGAATGGCATGAAAATAAGCATCCTGAAGGTTGAATGAAAAGAATGAATGTCCCAGATCTAGAGAGGGAATTATTGTTGCTAGGGTCACCATTTTTAATTGCTGGGAGCAGATGAAGGTATTTAAAGTCCTGACGTCGAGAATTGGTCTCTACCCCCCATTTTTCTTTAAGACAAGGAAGTACCAAGAAAAGAACCCTTCCTGAGAAAGTCTGGTGGGACAGGTTTGATTGCCCTCACACCTAGGCAGGATCGTACCTCCTGCTTTAAAAGGTCTTTGTGAGAGGGGTTCCCAAAGGCAGACTGGGGGGAGGTTGAAAAGATGGATGGAATAGCTTGTAGAAATCTCTTATAGGATTCAGCTGTCTAATGTGATGAGCTCCCAATAAGGTAAGAAATTAAAGAGATGCCCTCCATAAGGGTGGAAGGGGAATAGGTGCAATGCAGGATCTAGAGTGGGAGTTAGTTTGTGACCCTCAACCAATGGGTCAAATGGATGTTTTGAAGATGTCCCTGGCTGAGTGGTTGCTGAAGAGGAGGGCCCTTTCTTAGGGAATCTGGTCTTCTACGTGGGGGGCTTCAGCCGGTTTCATGGGCTAACAGTTGACTGGGAGAGATTGTTGAGCTGTCTGCAACCTGCTGTATTTTTATTTAGGCAGATGTAGAGATGCTCTGAGATTGTAGTGTCACCTGAGAGTTTTTGAGAGAATGCAGAGACCTCTCAACCGCATCACTAAACAACTTTGGGCCTTCAAAAGGAAGCTCTTCAACCAGATCTTGTACCTCCTGTGGGAGGCCAAAAGACTGCAGCCAGGAAGCTCAGAGCATGACTACTGCCGTAGCCATGGAACATGCAGCTGTGTCAATGGTATGAAGTGAGGCATGGAGAGATGCCTTGGAAACTGTCTGACCCTCTATCATGAGGGCCTGAAATTGTTGTGTCTGCTCCTGAGAAAGGTGTTCAATAGAGAAGAAAATTTTGAATAGACTGTGAAGTCATACTTTGACATCAGGGCTTGATAACTGGCTACTCTAAGCTGTAAGGAAGCCAAGAAGTAGCTCATACAGCCCAGAAAGTCCAATTGTTTTAGGTCCTTATCAGAGGGTATTGAACAGAACCAATGTTGCCAATTCTGTTCACTGGCACCACCTGCGAGTTGGGAATCAGACAGGAGGTACCCTAAGCCTCTGGGAGGGATGTACTACTTTTTGTTGGCTTATTTACACGTGGGTGAGAAGTGGTTGGAGTTGACCACACTGTGCGTGTGCAGTAAGCAAAGCTTCACTGATGGGCAAGGCAAACTTGCCCTGAGGAGATGAAGGAGGGTTATCCAACATGGAACGTTGGGATTCCTGAATCTCATCTAATGGGACTTGTAAGTCGTCTGCCACCTTTTCTATGAGTTCTTGAATGGCTCTGAAGTCACTGGGGTAAGATGGTGGGGGAGGTATGATATCCTCCTCATCTCTAGATGAGGCTTTGTGGGAAGGTGGTGTTTCTTCCTCTTCCACTGGTGTCCTGTCTGGAGGGATCTTGGGGCATCAGTTTATATTCTTAATATGACCTCTTTTGTGATGGCACGGTGTAGAAAGGGTCACCATAATTAACTCACAGATTCCAATAAGCCCAAATTCTCAGAAGACCAGAACGAAGGGGCTGACCCAGAAAAGTCTCCTTTATTATGAAAAATACTTTTAAAAAGGATACCTCCAGGTATTAATTCTCCAGTGTTTTCCTGCGAAAAGTTATGGATTTCCTATGCAACATTTGGTAGATGAAAAATAGATGCTTTTGGTATTTAAGTCATATTAAAGAGATTTCAGCTTTTCAATGGCTTTTACAGAATTGTCATTTATATGCTAGCAGGCAGGAAGCAAGATAACTGAGAACATGAAGAAACTCATTTTGCCATGGAATCAGAGTACAAAGCACAGTATTTTAAACATCAACTTTACATAAGTTTCTACACACATGTTTTGTTTTAAAATAAACTTTCTTCCCAAACAGAATCCAGAGATTTCAAATCACACATAGCCTGCACCAACACCCTGAGAAAAGCCTCTCTGTCCTCCTTCTCAGCCTGGTATTCTCAGACCAGACCACTGTGTCAGAGAGCAGGTAGGTTACAGTGTTCAGAACAGGCTATATAAGGAATCTTGTGTGTGTTCTCAAACAAAGCAAATCAGGAAAGGTGGACAGATCTAATGCACACCATTTCCCAGGAAGAGAAATTCTTAGACAGTCTGGCAATAAAATTAAGCTAAGTTACAACAAAACTACATTCATCCATTTTTTTAAAAAACTATATTTTGAAAATTCCTAAAATTAGTGTTCAAAATCCAGTGCTTTGCTTATTTAGATGTGCAGAATAAATTTCTACCTGTTCCAATTTCCCTTGATCATTAATAAATCCTGTCTTCAAAAATATATGTGTTTTTTGACATGAGTTTAGTTATTTATGAACTTAGAAAAATACCGTAGCTTTTGTTCTAGCTTTAAATATGAACACATCACTGAGCACAGTGATACTAGTGCATCAATACAGACCTCAACAAACAGGTGAGAACTCAGTATGCTTCTCTGGAGTCTTCATTTGCTGTTCTACTTAATTTTCAAATGAAGAGAGAGCTCTTACCTACTCTTTTCATCGGTAGCCTTCAATGCACTTTACAAAGGAGGTGGCGTTTCTCCATTTTACAGATGGGGAAACTGAGGCACGGAAATTAGATTTGCCCAAGGTCACCCAGCAGGCCTGTGTTAGAACTGGGAATAGAACCCAAGTCTCCTAAATCCGAGTCCAGTGTTGCAGATCTCACTTGCATCTGTTAGTCATTTTCAGTTAGCATTACAGTAGAACCTCTGTAAGTTATTCTAGTCACAACTGCAGTCACTGCAGATTGTTTACTTGCAAATTTGAAAATTTCAATAAACAAACATGGAAGGAGAATATATCATGTACATTACAGTTGTCAAAATAAATGAGCAGTCTTATAATATACTTTACAGTATTTCAGACAATATACTATATAATAGTTTGTCAAAGTAACAAAACCCACCTAGAGTACATGGCTATTAAATCTTCACTGAGGAGACACCAACATTTTTTGGTGTATGAATCAAAGTATTCTGATCACTAACTGCAATTTAGCAAGATTCTTCTGGTTTTGATTTTAGCATTGGCTTGTGATGACAGAGGGCTAAGAATATGAATCCATCACTGAGGTCACTGATTCTGTGATTTTACGAGCCCTCTGTGACGTCTTGAAAATTCCAATAATTAGCCCTGGCCAGCAGGGTTCAGGTTCTGGCTTCACCCAGGCCAGCGGCTCCTCAATAAATCCATGCTTTATTGTTTATTGCTAACGTCCTGTGCATGACTCTTGATAAACATACCCGTGACAAAATCATAGCCTTACACATGGCTAATGCTTGCCTCATTAGGGCTTATGTTTGGACAACAAGCAAAAATTCATTTTACATCCAAACTCATTTTATGTCCATCTGTGCTTACTATGCAAGACAATGATGAAAAAGTCAAAACAAACAGAAGGGATAAATAGCTTATTTTTACCATATAAAGCATCTCCCCAGTATGTAACTTGATTATAAAAAAATGTTAATTATTATACCTTTGGGTGTATACATTCCTTGTTGCATAGAACCTCCAGGTTCAAAAACGGGAGCTTTAAAATCAGCAACTGCTGACAACATTGATTCAAAGCTTAAACTTCCTGGAACAATGCCACTTTTGGGATTGGGGTTTTCTGGAATGTGATCTTTATGTTAAGAAAAACTATTGTTATCAAGGACTATTTAACAGCAGAAACATAGCACATCACTATTTACTTTCGTCTAATGTTTTAAGAGCTTCATTTAAGATGCTAAACTTTCGCAATGCTTTAATTTCACCACAAGAGGTCTGTGTACTACAGCAGTTCCAGTGTAATCAAATTTGTATTGTACCATATCAACACTTTTTGGGTATAATTTTAATTCTGTACACTACTTGAATTATTGCTCAAACTGCTATGGGCTTAGGGATTATATACTAATGCACATCACTACAAATATTCCTGGACATGCTGTTAAACTTGTGCAGCTACCAATAAGGTGTGGTGGGGAGGATTGTTTAAACTTTCCAAAAATCTCTTCTCTCAATCAGCAATCTTTCTGTATAGAAACACTCTCATCCTCAGAAAGTAAATCTTGAGAGTGAAAATGTCAAGCAAGCACACTGACTGGCAATTATACATACATATGCACTGACGTGCACTTTTTGTTATAAAAAAAAAATACATGCTTGTATCCATGTGATAAATAATGATCACTTGATTTCTAGTACTACGAGTAACAAACATTATTTTGAGTTAGGGTTAAAGCACAAACAAAGTAAGCAGATGACTGTGACCCACAGACCCTGAAAGCTCTGTAAAATGGGTTGGCTATATCTGATTTTCTGGAAGTGGTAACCTGCAGGGGAACAACTCATTTCCTGATCTCCCCTTTTGGCAAGTCCCAAAAATCAGAAGGTCAGCCCTGCTTTAGCTATTTTAACTTTTGGCAAGCAATAGGATTTATAAAAATTTAAGTAAGCCACTAGCGTTGAGTAAACAGGCAGCTCGGCTGTCCCACAAACCAAGAGGCTCTTGCAGGAATGGAGGAAAAAGGGGGGTGGGTAATAGAAACTTGGCATTGACTCTCTCTTGAAGAAAGGTTGGTGAAGCACAAATACAGAAACAAGGATATTCATGAATTAGTCTGGTTTTAAGTATTAATAGAAATACCCTTTCATGCTGAGGAGGGACATAAAAGTTGCTGAAAGGGAGGCTTTATGTTTTATGTGCAGGGAAAGATGGGGGGGGGGCAGAGTGCTTGATGATAGACGGAAAATTCAGGAAGGGGGAAAACTAGTGGGTTTACCTAAAAATATTAAAAGCAATATTGTGTGTACAGCAATGGGGGATGGATGGGAAGCTATAGGTGGAAACAAACTACGAAAGAAAAAACAAAATAAAATGGAAAAAATAGATTGTGAAACTAGCATGATGTGCACATATCATACCTAAGCACTCATATTATTACCTTAATATTGTAAACCTCAACCTCCTTTTCACCATTTCTGCCTTTAAATTACTGTAGTCACTTACTGCGCTATGTTTATATTTGGACTGCAAGTTCTTTAAGGAAAAGATCATATATATTTTACTTGGCTGCAAAGCACCTAGTACACTGTAAAAACATCTAAAATGTATTGCAAAGCCTCACGTGTATCATTTGCATACGAACAATTAAGGAAGACTAAAGTACTGAAGAAAATTTCATTGTGATCAACAGTACATCATAATCCAATGACATCTGCCCACAACTCCTAAAGTTTGAGGTTGTTACGAGCGAGCAATATTGATGGCATCGTGCACAAGCTTAAAAATACTGCACAACACAAATTTCTTTGATAGTACTAGTTACACACAGAAATCACAATAAATAAGTTAACAAGATTCCAAGGATATGAGATCCAGTAGTGAACTATGAGTCCTGTCGTTCATACAGAGCTGGGCTACCATCTCTGCTCTGAGGATTTCGTCATCTGTCATTCCTAGGACAATAAAAATAAAATTAAATACCCTGTACAAGTTGCATGAGTAAAGAAAAAAAGGATATAGAGGCACACACATGTAGTCAAATCTCAGTAAGTTAAATACTAATTACAAATGTGAGACTCAACGGTTTGATATCCTAGTTAACACAGTTACATTATTACAATTACAATTCAGATTTCTGGTTGATTCCCCAAAGATGTCCACAAGAATTTACTAAACTATTCCTATTTTCTTATAAGAGTGCTCTGTGTATTTGCAAGTTGTGTAAAGTAACAGCTCACTGATATTTCTCAATACATATGATGTTTTGAAAACAAACTATTGCACAGGAGTCAACACTAAAGCATGTTTTCCAAAGACTGTATTGTAAAGCATGGTAATAAACGAAGCTTAATAAAATATAACAGAATGCAAGTTTTAGCCAGGATTTTAAGTAATCTCTTAGGCCCAATATTGCAAACATTTATGCACACTTTTAACTTCAGGCACATGAGTAATAATCATATGTGTAAGTATTTGCAGTACTGGAGTTTAATTCATTTTTCTATGGCAATATCAAAGTAATTTTATTCTGTGTTAAATACTGTGTATTTTGGGGGGTGAGGGGAATATACCAAAACAAAATCACCTGGAAGGTTTCACAGATGCCTAGCTGAATGTTTGGAACTTATGCCACTGAAGCAATATCAAATTAGCATACTGCAGACTTATTGTACCAACTAGCACATGTTCCTACGTCAGTAACATTAGAAATGCTGGAAGGGGCGATTACAAAGCTCAGTTCGGCATAATTCTGAATAAAGATCAGTGTCAATAAAACTAAGATATATCTACAGGACTTTACAGGGGGTAAATCCCCCTCCGTCACTCTGCAGGTATGGAAGGCCCAATGGACAGGATAACTGCGGTAGTTGCACAGCTCATGTTTGGGTCAAGATGTAGGAAGTGCATGTAGAGAGACTGTATGCCACAGCATGTGCTCTGAAAGGGCAATTTGTGCAAAGCTGCAGAAGTAATTTATGGAATGGGGTAAGGCTAGTGGATCCAAAGCAAGAAGAACAGCAGCCACTGGGGCAACAGTAACTCTAAAGTTTTACCAGCTGCCAAGTTTTGCATGGCCAGGGGAGAAATCTTGGTACAAGACCAGGATTTTAACCCAGGTTACTGGTAAGATAATTTGTAATAGAAATGATGTAGAAAGTAACAGAAAAGGAATGTTCACAAAGCTGAAAATATTGCACATTTGCTTCTTCGCACATAATTTTTTAGGTGCCCAAGTGGGAAATGAGTCTTTCCTTTAATTCAAGCTTTGACTGGATAATGTCCTATTCAGTTTACTTGATACAAACAGCAGACACCAAGTCATGTATATAAAAATAATAAAATACAATAAAATTTCAGTTAATAAGGAATGTCAAAGTTCAGACAGGGAAATAAGAAGCACAACCATAAGAGATTATTACAAGTAGGAGTTTTAGGATTTGCTGATTCAAACACTAGTATTGACATTTACACTTCAATATACGTCTCATGAGCATATGTATAAAAAAAATTCAGCCGTTTATTTCTCTCAAGGACAGGAATGGACTGGATTGCAATAAAGGAAAAGACACCCTAACCCTGTATTTTGGCTGTTTCTAGTTTTTAGGATGGTTAAAACTGATGAAACGAAAATCAAATTATAAACAAAGAATGACCATTTGATTTTATTTAATAATTTTACTTATTCTGCTACAGGACAGCTATTAAATGCCAAAAAATTTAAAACCAAATACACATAAAATTCCATGTTACAGTAATATTTGTGACTAGACAGTTGTGATTCTTACCTAAATGTACGCGAAGACTTAACAGAATGACAAGAAATGTTAAGGCTCCTTCCAACATAGATCTCTCATGTTCTGAATCAAGAACTGTATTCTGATGCTGCGATGCCATTGTTAACAGATCTACCACCTTGAATCTACAGAACAGAGTAAGGTTAGAGACGTCATTCTTCCGTATCAAGAGCCTGATGCTGAGAGGTGCGAAGTACCCGGGATGCCTAAGGAAGCACCATTCAGGCCCAGGCCCAAAAGGAGTACAAAATAAGTTGTATATAATCTAATTAGAAGCAAACCTTGAAGTGAAAGGCTTTTTATTTTCAGAAAGTATATCCTTATCTTCATTGTACTGTACTGATCCTATTCATACTTCATATTCAAATACATGACATTTATATCAATTGAATACTTGAAAGAAGGTTAGTTGGTATTGACATTTATGTCCTGCTTTTCTTCAGTCATGTCTATGCTACAGCAGCACAGCTACTGTGCTGCAGCTGTGATCCTCTAGCATAGACATTGCTTATGTCAGCGGAAGGAGTTTTTCTGTCAATGTAGGAAATCCACTTCTCCGAGAGAAGGCAGCCACGTTGACAAAATAATTCTTCCATCAACCTAGCTGCGTCTACAGAAAGGTTAGGTTGACCTAACTACATTGCACAGGGTGTGACATTTTTCACAGCTCTGAGCGACAAAGCTAAGTGGATCTAAGTTTTAGGTGTAGACCAGGCCTTCTCCTGTAGAAGTAAGCAGACGTCTTGTGATCCTCACTGCTATTCATTCTCGCCTTCAGTGTGGGAGTTCCAAATACTTATACACCAGAGTGTGCAACACTTCTAAAATTGGAACGCTCAGGAGATTCAACTCTGGGGTTTCATAAACATATTGCACGCATTGGAGTATAAATCCAAAACCAGCCCTAAGTGAAAGGGAGGATGAATGAAACTGCCACAGTGGAACCCATCAGAGAAATTGTATTAATGGAAGTGTATTCCGCCATCTGGGATGGAAAAAAAAGACAAAGTGCTGTGGTACAAGAGGGATTCAGCAGGTCAAACACCTTTTCCCCCACAGTATATTTTAAATAGTCAGTAAGTGGCAGAATGCTATATAGTGGTATTCATTCTATCCTTATGCTTTGACCTTACCTTTCAAAAACTGATGAAATAAAATAATCTGGGTCAAGTCTAGAAGCACAGACCTGTAAAAACAAACATGTACATGGTACATCATCACTTTACTCATCAGTCATTAGCATTCTTATAAACACAGTACTTGGGTTCACAGAAACTATACATTACCTGTAATAGGTAAATGTCAGGATCAATCATGGAGTTACAAAAATGAGACTGCACATAAGTCATTGCTTGTCCTTTAATTTGTAGACCATTCCTTACCCACATGTTACTATGGATTTCAGAAAGGCTTGCCTATTTTTAAAAGAAAAAAATTAGCTGAAATAAACTTTTTGCAAACAGTTCAAGGAAAAATCAGCTATTCAGTTGTCTGCAGCCACACCATCAGCTGTGATCCCCTCAGATCTCAAAATCAGCAGAGCTGGACCATGTCAAAAGTTGGATGAGAGTCATCCCAGAAAATACCCTTACAGGTTGCAAAAAATTCAGTTGGTACCAGTATGTGGTTCTCTTCTTGCTGAGAAAGTACTGAATCCATGCATGAGGCATGATATTAAATTACAATGGTGAATGAGACTTAAAACCAAGGCCTTGATCATTAAAAATATACTGTGCTATTCTTTGTAAGTTTGTTAACCAGGTGTCCTGCCCAAATTCAAAACAAGATATTTATATTCCACCACAGATCTGTAATACGTATAATAATATGGTCCACTCTAAAAGGAGGTGGCATTTCAGGAAATGGAGGGGTAAGGAATGTGAAAAGATCCACGATTCTTTATCCTGAAAAAGTACCCAAAAAATGAAGTGTCTCTCTTATAATAGATTATCAATTATTACAACTATTTCTCTTCATCTCCTAACTTCGATATAAACAGAACGTTAAGTGTAAAGCCACAGGCAAGAATCCTGCCCATTACTGCTTATAAAAGTCAAAGAATAAAGGGTCTTCACAACCCAGCCTCTACATTCACTCCTGCATCCTCAATCTGTACATATTAATATTAATTGCATGCACAAATTGTTCCAAGCACAAGTACTCAAATTTAGCAGTAGCTTTTTGAAAATGTGATCCTAAACATTAAGCATAGTTCTCAGCAATATAAAAACCTAGGGTCATTATATGATGCTAACAGTATTTGAAAAAGTAGTTCTCTGTGATTCTAAGAAATACTTTTCTAAGTTTATTCTGACAAAATCACTGTAAAACTGTGCTTACAAGTGATAAACATTTCATATATTGCAAGGAGTTGTCAACTACGTTAATTTTTGTATTCCACAATTAATATGTTTTTCTCCTGCTGGTTAGACATTTTTTTAAATACTTGGACTGGAAGAGAGGAAAAGAGATAGCCATCCTCTTTCGTATTCTGTACATTCAAACCAAAAAAGCAGCCTGGCACCATACCTGAATCTGAAGTGGGTGAATCATTAGTTTCATCAACATCTCCTGATCTGGTAAAATACAATCCAGATCTAGCTCTTGGCATTTGACAGCCTACAAACAAAATGGAGTATAAATTTTACTGAGAATGTAAGGAAATGATTTTTTCATACTATAAACAGACAAGACCTTATTTTCTAATAGAATCTGGTAACAAATGCATGCTTACCTTACTCAAAAACATAGCATAGTAACGATGTAGTGGCAAATGAAAAGTAACCTGGTTAGGAGCTGGCTGCAATGAAAACAATGCATTTTACCATCAAATACAAAAAAGTATAAGAATCATACAGACTATCATTTCCTCTGGCACATCCACTGCTGATGGCTCTTTCCACTAGATATTGCAAATGTTACTGCATCTCTCCCTCTGCCAATGCTTCATCTCCCTTTTCCCAAACCGTTCCAGTTGATCTCTCCTGCTTAGCCCCTGGAATATTAGTCTCACCCCCCTGGAATCAGAGAAATGTCTCCCAATACACCAGACCTGACCACACCCTAGTACTTTATACGAAATGGAGTGCAGAGAAGCTTTGCTTTATCATTGCTAACGCCCTCCACTCAACTGCATTGGAGTGCTCCTATGGCATCAATTGGTAGAACCTCATAGTCTGAATACAAGTTCACATTAATTAAATTGGGGATTCCAGAATTCTTAATTCACCAATATATCACATCATACCCATGAATTACAAAGGTTTTAACAAGAGCTGCATTGTTTTTAACATGTTAATCCATCTGTTACAGTATTTAAAAGGATATTTTTATTATGTAAAGGAGAAAGAAAATTATTAACTTTTAAAGTATTTTTTTAAGTTTAACAAGACATTTCCGACAACACTTTGTTTAATCATATAAAGGATGCAAACCTCATCTACAAAGTTGATAGCATCGAACCAGTCCTGAAGTGCTTCAAGGCAGTATCTGACAACATTTCTTGTGTACTCTTGTGTCTCCTGCAATAAGAAAAATTATTTGACATTGCACCATTGTACACTGTATCACACTATTCAAAAATAGTTTTGAGTAATGGTTTCATTAATACAATGGGGAAAATAGTTTATTAACTAGTATGATGGTTTAAGGATTTTTTTCTGTTCTTTTCTGTTCGCAGTTTTAAAACAGGGCAGAAATATGGAATTTGCATAGCGTTTCTCTTTTTATTTAAAAAAAAGTTTTCTTTTCCAACACTGAAAATTAACATGTTTTAACGATTTACTGGTGGTTGACACTGTCCTTCTCTACACTGAGGCTTTTCCAAAATTCATCAATGGTAGGAGTGCTAGCATACAAGAGCCTAGAATGTTTTTGCTATTGTGTTGTCCAGACCTGTTCTGAGCTGCCATGCTGGTGTAGCCCTCTATCACATTCAACTAAGTTTTATAAAAAAAAAAAACCTTTCATTTTATTGTTTCAACCAATTTACCTAATACTGAATTAAGTTTTCCGGGGCTATAATTCCTAGGACTATCCCCAACACCATTTTTTAAGAGACAGCTGAACATTTGCTACTCTCCAGTATTTGGGTATAATAATAGCAGATTTAAATGTTTGTTCAGCCACTTGATTGAGTTCCTTTGAAATTCTTACAAATAAGACTATTTGGTCTTGGTGGCTTAATGTTGTTTAATTTAATCTATTTGTTTTAGCACAGAAACAGGAACCTGTGCATACAAAGGGACCCTTCAGGCACATATTCTAAAAGGAATTACGCATCCAATATCCTATTCAAACACTTCTACTGCAATGTCTTTAGAGTTTAGTAAACTCAATGCAGTAAAATCCAGTGTTCACCACTAGATTAACAAACATGAGTGTAATGATAATGAAAATATAGGAGTAATTTTGTTTCAGATTAACCATAAACTAATATCAATATATATATAATGTTCTCACATTGAAATACAATTTAAATTCAGTTGCATCTCTCTAAGTTAAGGCAAGATAGGCTATATACCTCAAGCAGTGGGGTCAGAAGCATGCGGGGGAGGGGGGGGGAGGGCGGAAGACACTATTAGTTTTTGAAGTGCCAACTAGTTAACTGTAGTACAGTACTCTAAGGACAATTTAGCCTCAAAAGAAAGATTTAATAAAAATATCTTAATATGATTTACAATATGAAAATGCCTTTGCAATTGCTAAATTTAAAACTTTCGGAATATTTAGTTTACTCAAAAAAGCCTTTTCAGTGCACATTTCAATCCAGACTTTACCGTCCTATGAACACCAACATAACTCCTCCTACTTATATTGGAAAGTAGTTTAAATTAGAAGATTGATATTTTTTATTCATAATAAATGATGATGAGGTAGAAATGTAAAGTTTTTCATGTCTCAAGTATTCCTCTCAATTGAAGAATTCCATTTTCTGCTAGTCTATCATTGTTTGACACACCAATTAACAATTGTGTAGTGTAATGATGAGAAAAATCATCATCATGCAAGAGATTTAATCTCATATAGTTAATAATCCAGATCTCTGATTTGATAATTATGCATAATTATGTAGTTTTATTACTATCCCAAAATGTCTATTTTCAGGCACAAACAAGAAACAACCAATATCATAATCACATCACAGCAGACTTAATTTTCTCCTTTCCCAACATTACAGTACAATCACCAGAGTTTTTCGGACACATGTATCAACCTATGTCCCATTACATTTTAACCTCATTCCTATTACAGGTCAGTGTAGTTTCAGTCTAGTCTCAGTTCTGGAGACTATAACTAAGGGTATGTCTACACTACGAAATTAGGTCAATTTAATAGAAATCGATTTTTTAGAAATTGATTTGATACAGTCGATTGTGTGTGTCCCCACTAAGCGCATTAAGTTGGATGTGTGCGTCCACAGTACCAAGGCTAGCTATCCCACAGTTCCCGCAGTCTCCGCCGCCCATTGGAATTCTGGGTTGAGCTCCCATGCCTGATGGGGCAAAAATATTGTCACGGGTGGTTCTGGGTACATGTCGTCAGCCCCCCCCCCCTCTCCCTCCATGAAAGCAATGGCAAAAAATCGTTTCTCGCCTCTTTTCCTGGGTTACCCGTGCAGACGACATACCACGGCAAACATGGAGCCCACTCAGCTCACTGTCACCATATGTCTCCTAGGTGCTGCTGGCAGACACAGTACTGCAGTGCTACACGGCAGCATCCCCTTGCCTTGCCTTGTGGACGGCAGAAGGTGTAATAAGACTGCTAACCGTTGTCGTTGTCCCGTGGATGCTCCTGGCCGGCCTCGGTGAGGTCGGTCGGGGGCGCCTGGACAAAAATGGGAATGACTCCAGGTCATTCTCTTCTTTAAGTTTCGTCTAATGGAGATTCAGTCCTGCCTGGAATATCATGCCAGCTGGAGGCTTCTGCCTCAGGCTGCTCTCCCAGTCGGCAGCACCACGCAGTTGCACCTACCCCAGCCTACCCCTTATTCCCATGGCTCATGAAGCCTGGACAGTAGTAAGGAGCAGTTCAACTACAGGCTGAGCAAGTGCACAAGTGTTAGAATGTGCCTTTGGACGTTTAAAAGCTCACTGGCACAGTTTACTGACTCGGTTAGACCTCAGCGAAACTAATATTCCCATCATTATTACTGCTTGCTGTGCGCTCCACAATATCTGTGAGAGTAAAGGGAAGACGTTTATGGTGGGGTGGGAGGTTGAGGCAAATTGCGTGGCCACTGATTACGCGCAGCCAGACACCAGGGCAGTTAGAAGAGCACAGCAGGGCGCGCTGTGTATCAGAGAAGGTTTGAAAACCAGTTTCATGACTGGCCAGGCTACAGTGTGAAAGTTCTGTTTGTTTCTCCTTGATGAAAACCCACCCCTTGGTTCACTCTACTTCCCTGTAAGCCAACCGCCCTCCCCTCCCCCGTTTGATCTCTGCTTGCGGAGTCAATAAAGTCATTGTTGTTTCAAATTCATGCCCGGGAGGGGTGGAGGAGGAGGGAAGCACAGGGGTGGGGTAGTTGTAGGGGCACCCCCTAGAATGGCATGCAGCTCATCATAGAAGCGGCATGTCTGGGGCTCTGACCCAGAGCAGCCGTTTGCCTCTCTGGTTCTTTGGTAGGCTTGCCTGAGCTCCTTAAGTTTCACGCGGCACTGCTGTGGGTCCCTGTTATAATCTCTGTCCTTCATGCCCTTGGAGATTTTTTCAAATATTCTGGCATTTCATCTTTTGGAACAGAGTTCGGATAGTACAGATTCGTCTCCCCATACAGCGATCAGATGCAGTACCTCCCTTTCAGTCCATGCTGGAGCTCTTTTGCGATTCTGGGACTCCATGGTCACCTGTGCTGATGAGCTCTGCATAGTCACCTGTGCTGATCAGCTCGCCACGCTGGCCAAACAGGAAATGAAATTCAAAAGTTCGCAGGGCTTTTCCTGTCTACCTGGCCAGTGCATCTGAGTTGAGAGTGCTGTCCAGAGCGGTCACAATGGAGCACTCTGGGATAGCTCCCGGAGGCCAATACCACACTACCCCAAATTCGACCCAGCAGGGTCCATTTCAGCGCTAATCCCCTCGTTGGGGAGTACAGAAATCGATTTTAAGAGCCCTTTAAGTCGACAAAAATGGCTTCGTCGTGTGGACGGATGCAGGGTTAAATCGATCTAACGCTGCTAAATTCGACCTAAACTCGTAGTGCAGACCAGGGCTAAGTAACATCAATCATATTTAAATAGGCACTTCAAAGAATTTATGAGAGTGCTGTTACAGAGTTATATCCTCAGCTCTAACAGGTACAGCCTGAGACGTCCTTTGCTTGCCCATGCTATCTTTGTTTTCACTAAAACAATGCTTCTTTCAGAGAAGCAAACAGTAGCTTTTCTACTCTTCCACAGAAACAAGCCTCCAATATCATCATCCTTTTCAAAGCTCCTGTGAAGACACTAAAAATCAAACTGCGGGTTTGATATTCTCATATACATTTCCTTGGTTTAAAGAGATTACTCTCTCAAACTCATAAGCAGGACTCCTATACATTGTACTATGCAGGTCAGAAGCTATTTACAGTATCATTCAGTTGACTGGCAAAGACAGTTGTCCAGGCTTGGGTACAACCCTACATGTAACATGGACACCAACACCATAAGGACAGATGTTAGTGCCAAGTCTCATGTGGCCTTCTTGATGGTAGTTGTATCGCAGGGGTCGGCAACGTTCAGCATGCGGCTCGCCAGGATAAGCACCCTGGCGAGCCGGG